AATTCTGATTAAGTCCCCCTTGCTTCTTTTGATTATTAACTCTGCTAGTGGATCCCTGCACCCAGCTCTTCTAAGCTGGAGCAGGGGTGCTCACTGTCACGTGCAGGTGCTTTCACACAGGCAGCACTGTGTGTGCAGAGGGCAGCCCGTGGGCATGTTCTAGCAGCTATGAATGCAGTGAGTAGCTCGACTTTGAGCCATTGTCACTGTGGCTGTGCCTACATCAGAGGGAGCACCTGGTCGGGTGCCAGGTGTTAGCTGGTGAGTGTGTCACTTGCCTGGCAGCCTCCATCAAGAGCTGTACCTGCCAAGGAAGGAAGCAGCTGCTTGTTTGTATTTATGCAGCACTTGGGTTGGTTTTTCTCATCTGTGGGTACCAATAGCAGTTATTATTTTTTGTTTGTTTGGAGTAATTTGACTTTTGATTATCTGATTTCGTGCCTACCATTTACTGGGTACCAGACGCTGTGCTTTGCATGCATGGTCTCATTTAAGCCTGCAATAATCACATGAGGAGGTATTGTTAGTAACCTTATTATACTTTGGTAAGACTGAGGGCCAGAGAAGTTAAATAACTTGCCCATTATGCCAGAGTTGGTAAGAGCAGACCTTAGTGTCCTTTACCAGGACAGCTACATAATTTGCAGGGCTGAGTGCAAGTTAAAACGTGGAGCTTTGTTTAAAAAAAAAAGATGAGGAAGACTAAAATGGCCCTATCAGAGCAGTGACTAAGCATGCAACCCCTCTTAGTGTGAGGCCCTACGTATCTACAAAGGAGCTGTGGTTGAGCCCAGTATTGCTATGGAGATCAGCTATCAAAGTCATGTCCAACTCAAGAAATCTGAGGGGACCCGGGGAGATGGCTCAGTGGAATAAGCGCTTCCTTGGCAAGCACAAGGGCCTGAGTTCAATCCCCAGTTCCGCAAAAAAAAAAAAAAGAAAAAGAAAAGAAAAAAAAAAAAGAAAAGAAATCTGAGAAGGCCTTAGGAAACAAAGTAAGGCCAGGCATACTTTGCTGAGACATGAAGGTACTGAGGCAGTATTCTATGGCACTTAGTGCCTGGTTGTCGCCCATGGTGGTTTGGGCAATGGCATGAGCAGGAAGCAGTTGCTCTCGGCTTTGGAGAAGTGTGGGCTTGTGGAAACTCTCGTAAGATACAGAACATTAGGAATCCCAGAATGCTGCTCCATACCTCAATGGAAAAGAAATAGTGGACGATTTAGGATGAAAGGTCATGTGGTACTTGAATTTTGTGGAAAAATACAGTGGAAGGAGTTGGAGCTTCAAGCCTTCCCTCCAGGTCTCAGCCTAGCAGGAAAGAGCTGTGTAGGCGTAGACAGGCTGACTCCTAAGTGCACAAGCTTCTGTGGACAAGGCTGAGCAGTACCTGTTGGCAGAGACTGCCTCTGGCACCTAAATAGACGGTGGGAACGTCTGTGTGTGTGTTTCAGGCATAAATTCTCTTTAAGTGCCAAGTTTTTCTTCCCAAAAGACATGGAACTGTTTTTTTCTTTTTCCTTTCTTCCTTTTTTTTTTTTTTAACTATGGCTGAGCAGAGTGGAGGCTTGTCCTTGTTAACCCATATTTGTTTCTGGGTATATCTTGGCTGGGCTGATTATTATTTATTTATTTATTTATTGTGGAACCAGGGATTGAACTCAGGCCCACTGAGCTATCTCCCCAACACCTGGGCTGATTATCTTCTGCTAAAACCCCTAGAAGCCTGTTGGTGGAGGAACCTAATGAATATACTTCTATTTTTTTTTTAAATCCAGTTCTAAAGTTCTGGGGTGGTTTCTCTGAGACTCTCCCCCATCAGCCGCATCACACCCTCTTTATTTCTCAGCCTCAGCTGGCTTTAGCTGCCCAAGAAGTACTCTTACCTCAAATCCAGCCATTAGCCTGCTGAAGTCATTGAGCCAACCCTGCCCAAGGCATAAATGTTTTGTTCCTTGTCCTAGTTCTGAGAGAGAAGAAGAGTTTCTGGAAGGAAAATAAGAACCAGCCACCTCTTTCTTCCTAGGGCTTAGTTGTCCTGGGGACATGTTCGCAGGGACCTCTTCCCTCATTATATCACAGGGCAAGGGGATAACTGTTGACACTGGGTGCTTATGTGGGACCATGCATCACAGGTCTTTAGTCTTCATATGTGACTCATGCTTCACATGCAACTCCTGGAACGCTTCACAGCGATGAGAGGTACTTTAACTGTCCTACCTTCCAGATGGAGAAACGGAGACAAGAGGCTGAGTAACTTGCCTGAAGTCTGACAGTCAGTGTGTAGGAGACTCCACACGGGAGCCGTGTAGTGTTAGATCGAAAGCCTACCTCCAACCGTCACTGCTTGCTCCAGAGTCCCACAAGCATCCTGCAAGGGTGGGCAGGACAGCCTGTGGTGTCTGGTACAATGACAAGCAACACTCCAGGAAGGTGGCCTTTTCATTGCCTTAGTCTACATGTAAATTCTAGAATCTTTCCATGTGACAGCACTGGGGAGGGAGTCAGATAGCTTCTCCAAATAGTTTACCAGGGTGGAGGAACACAGATAGACCCAGGTGCATGTGCAAGGTGCAGTACTGCTCTAGAATGCTGATCACTTTATGTGCTTTATTTTGTGGGGAAGTAGGGGGTTACTGGGAATTGAACTCAAGACCTCACTCATGCTAGACAGGTGCCACACTGCTGAGCTATATCCCCAGGCACTTATGTTCTTGGATGAAGTGAGTTGTTAAAGAAAGATAACTTCAAAATATTTCAAGACTTTGAGTATTATTAGCGCTTTTATTTGAGAACTTTGGTTTAATTTTATTATAGTGTTCTTGTCTGCAAAATATTAATCAGTTGTAGTAATAACAAAGTGGTGGTGGTGATGATGATGATGATGATGATGATGATGATGATGATGATGATGATGATGATAGTAACAGTGTCTTCCAACAATAGGCTTCAGAGAGGGAGGTGGGTATAAGGCTAGGTTGTATGAGGTGGAATTAGACCTTGAGCCTCCTCCTTCTCACTTTTCTCCTTGGGTGATATGGGGCAGCCCTGTGAGCATGGGTCTTGCTCAGGAGGCAGAGGGCAGTGGCTCCACTTGGGAAGAAGTGTGCCACACTTGGCAGGATTACAAGGATGCATGACTAATGGGTTTTCAGCTTCTGTTTGCCTGTGCCTGCAATATGCTTCTTCATAGCACCCTCTGACTGAGAGAAAGCCTTCAGCCCCTGATAATAGGCAGGGGTGAGTTGGCCAAGCCAGTCTTCAGTGTCTGTACAGGTGTCTAGAGTGTTTCCATGAGCCCATGTAAAGTGAAGCTATGGAGACACATTTGTTTCCTTTCCAATAGAGCTAGGCTAGTGTACTTACAAATCGGATTATTCTAGGGGGGATCGCCTAGTAAAATGATTTTTTTCCAAGTTCTTGAAAACACTTGAGAAAAGTCCTGAGAGCTTTTTCTGCACATTTAAATCAAAATGATGGTGAGTGGGGGAAATACAAGATTAGGAAGCCTTGCCTGAATACTCATTTAGGAAATGGAAACTATAATTTAAATAATTTGTGATAAGAGGTTTGAATGGTCTGAATGAAAATTGAGAAGGAAAATAGCCAAGTGACTCATCCCCAAGGCAGAAATCAACAGCAAGCTCTCCAGGCCTGCAGGAGGACTTGTGATGGGCCAGCCACGAGTGGCGTTCTTTTCTGTGCTGTATTCCCAGTTTGCCCATACAGTGCTCCCAGTAACCCACTCACTGCAACGATTCAGAACAGCTCCGATGGGGGAATGGCTAGGTGACTCTCTAGGACCTGCTTAGCATAGCACTGTCATGTTAATTGGCCTGAAAGCGAATATCAATTATGTGAGGATTTCATCCTATGCAAATTGTGCTAAACTGATAAGGCTTTTCTGCGAGGAATACTTTGTTTAGTTCCATCCCTACAGAGTGACCCAATATTCACTGGGAATAGGCATATAATTGAAAATCTCTTATGCAAGGATTCTCTTGTATTCAAACATCTTTTCTACCAAAAGCTTTTATTTAGGACTCTGCCATTGGCTCATGAGGTGATGGGTGGAGGAGCAGGACTCAGGGATCCAGTGAGAAAGAGCCAGGCCCAGCTAGGCTGCCAGTGGGCAGAAGAGGTACAGAATCTCCTCGTACTGCACCTCCTTCTCTTCTTCCTCCTCTTCTTCTTCCTCATTTTTTTTTTCTATTCCTCTTCTTTTTTTGTGTGTGATACAGAGGACAGAACCCAGGGTCTTCCATTGAGATATACTCCTAGCCCTTTTCGTTTTTTTTTTTTTTTTTTTTTTTTTTTTTTTTTTTTTTTTTTTTTTAATTTTGAGACAGAATCTTGCTGAGTTGCCCAGGTGGGGTATGGACCTGCAGTACTCCTGCCTCAGCCTTCTAAGTAGCTAGGATTACAGGAGGGCATCTACACACACGGCCCTTTCATTCTTTATTGTTCCTAGGGCAGGGCTGCACAAGTGCTAGGCCCTCTCTGGGCTTGTAGCAGACCACATTTCCCGTTTAATGTTCAAGACTCATCACTCTATGAAAACAAATGCTGAAGACAGCCACCATCTGTCCAAGTAAAGAGGGCACCCCACACTAGGACTGTCATGGAGAAGCACCTCTTGTTTAATCTAAAAGGGCAATGGTAAAACCTTTCCACATATTCAGGTTACTTAAGATAATCTTGTGTGTGATCTCTGGTGTTTCCGAAGATAGAGTCATTTTCTACTAGAAATGCAATTCTAGACGACCATGCATTTCTCAAAATATATTAAACCTTAAAATTACTTACAAGAAGGGAATCAGGAGAAATGATGGAACAATACTCAACAATTTTGAGTTGCCTTTAAAGTGAAATTTCACTCCCTCTGACTCAGGAGGTGGGAGAAATGTATGAATCTTGTTAAAAGTCTGTAGATTCTTTGGTCAGCATCCTGCTTTCTCTTCTACCTCACCACTTTTCCTGTCTTTCTGCTGTTTCTCACTAGGGTATGGCAATATTGCACCAAGCACCGAAGGAGGCAAAATCTTTTGTATTTTGTATGCCATCTTTGGGATTCCACTCTTTGGTTTCTTATTGGCTGGCATTGGAGACCAACTTGGAACCATCTTTGGAAAAAGCATCGCGAGAGTGGAGAAAGTCTTTCGAGTGAGTACTGCATACTTAAACCTAACTCCTGCAATCCAGTTGGCTTTTGCCTAACAGAAGCCCGAAGGTATTATCAGGAGTGTCATTTGCTTTTAGTGAAACAGTTAATGTTTTGATTGTGTGATTATGTTTGCTATATTTAGGCTCATTTGGGTGCAGTACCTACATGTCCTTTGCTTGAGTAGCTCCTACTTTAGAGCAGTACTTCTGGAATCATGACAGAAGAGGGTTAAGTATGAATTTTCCAAGCCAAGTTTCTGGATGAAGTAAGGTGGACTCAATGTCTTGGTCTGTTTGTGGTGCTACAACAAAACACAGGAGGCAAGGTAGTTCATAAGGAGCAGAAACTTGCTTCTCACCATTTGGAGGCTGGGAGCTCAAGGTCAAGGTGCTGGTAGGTGCAGTTGTTCAGCTTTCAGAAGAGGGCCCTGACTTCTGCTAAGATGGTACCTTGTTCCTGTGTCTTGTGGAGGGAAGGACTGCCCAGTGTTTATGTGGAAGAAGGGTTGGAAAAGAAAAAGGGCTCACCACTGCATGAAACTTCTTTTATAGGGGCCTTAATCCCACCCATGTGAGAGGACCGCTCATAATCTAATCACCTCTAAAACCCCCCATCTTTTAATACTATCACGCTGGCCATCAAGTTTTGGCACATTGATTTTGGAGGGGACACATTCAAACCACAGCACTCAGTTTCTTCCTAAAGGTGGAAGATGGCTTCCTTAGTGTCTTTGTGTTGAAATGGAAGTAGAGAAATAGAAACCCTTCCATTAATGATACTCATTGGCTCCATTGTATTTCCATGCATGGTGTCTCCTGGAGGATCCTGGCTTCTCCCAGCCACTGCTTTCTCCCAGCTGAGATCTGTGATTTGAACCCATCTCCTTGAGGCCCCATACTGCTGAGTGCTCCTTCGGAAGCTCACTGGTGCATGGCTTCCCACTAAGTCTTGATGAGTGTTGCTGCCTTAGGTTTTTCCTCTTGGAAATAGTTACCTTTAAACAAGGGACAAAATCTCAACTCAAAAAATTTATTTACTCAAGCTACTAAGCCCAGCATCAGCGATAGTTGTGTGGGATGCATAGATATGGCTGGCTTGAGGTTCCTAATGCGCTCTAACTGACATCCACTCGTACGATTCTATAGAAGTCTTGTTTAGCTTAGGTGCAATTCTATTTCGGGTCTTTTACCAAGTATGAATTTCATTCTTATGCCTTTCCCAACTTTGTTTATCAGAGAATGATTTCTTATGATTAATTTTTTAAAATGACATTTTGAGATCTGTTTCGGGATCTAGCAATGTTGGGCAAAGACAGATCAGTGATAGACTCTCAAATTTCCCCATCTCCCATACACCTCGGAGAGAAGAACTCCAGAGCTTTGAGTTTTAGGCTGAATCTGAAATCCCGGCTGACATCTTTCTTTAGATGAGTGTGAGGGAACCATCCATAGGTAGGCAAGTTCAGAATTTTCTTTTTAAATTGTGTTTTTCTTTTTTTTTTTTTTTTTTTAGTAGGCTGTTTGAAATAAACACAAGAGCTGATTCTAGTCGTTATAAACTCAGCAGTCCTGGGTAACCTGCCTGTTTGCTCATTAGCAAAGAGGGATAGAATGTGAATCTATTTGCTGAAGTTGTATGATGATTAAATGACATATCTGTGGGAGACAGCTTGGCACAAGGCCAGATACAGAGCTCAGAGCTGTGTGCATTTCAGAGAAAAGCGAGTTGGCGAGTTGGCGGGACAGTCACCCCTGCAGGCTGTCCCTAAGTAGCTCCTTGCGCCTGAACTTTCGGGAAGGTCCTACGACCTTTGCCCCTTGGGGCTGGCTGGCCAGCTGGCCTCATTAGCACACACACACCTGGGCTGCTTCACGGTCACCATGGAAACCATGGCCAGCTCCTTGGTTTCTCAGATGTGTGGATTCCCCTACCCTAGATGCGCACCCCTGTCTCTGAGGGGCTGTTCTTGAACTTCTCCAGCACATCTTTTAGCCACTGCTCCACGGCCCTTCGTGTTGAGAGAACAACAGATCTGGCAGACTGAACATTTAGAAGAATAGGATTCGCAGGGAGGAATGGATGACTGATGCGGCATTTTGATATTTATATAACTAGCTTCTCTAGATCAGTTTCCTTAGTTGTAGAAGAAAGGATTAGATGAAATGCTTTTCAAACTTCTTTCTATTAAAAGAATTATTATTATTATTATTATTATTATTATTATTTTTACTGTGTTCTAAATGAGGGAAGAGGTTGCAATTGTTTTACTGCATCTGCTACCAAGTTGGGGGAATTGGTCTCCCCTAATCAATTTCAGACTGCGAGTTGAACGTGCTACTCACCTTTTCCTTAGAGCTACCCTTCAATGGATCATGTAATAGTATCTGGGGCTGAGGCTTACGCATGTGACATTCCTTTGTATGCTGATGGCCCACTCTAGTCCCTGAAATGCCATCAAAGCCTGAGAGCTTTTCAGGAAGGCGAGACAGACGTGTGTTATTGTATTGGCAGCACAATGGGGCATTCACACAGTGCTGGGGAGCTTTTGGAAGGCTGATGGAATCCTGAGGAACAAGTGTTCTTCCTGAATACGCAACCAGTGTATCCAGCAAACAAAACTCTTGCTTGCTGTGTGCAAAGTTTTGGTAGAAAAATCTCAATGTTTTCAGTCATTTACTTAAATTCCACTTGAAAGACTAGTTACTTTTAGGTGATTATTTGAGAAATGTAAAATTTAAAACCAACAAAGCTTGTGTTACATATTTTTTATTTTAGTTCTCATGGGGAAGGATAATTTTTTTAAAAAATTGGATGATAAGTAAGTAAATCTTTCTGTTGATTGTTAGATTTTCTTAGTTCTTGGGAAGAAAATGTTTTGTGTGTATGCAGAATAAGAAGAAAATGCAGAGTTAACCTTTTGGATGCCTGTACTCTGAAGTGACTATGGTTTGGGTTTTATTTTATTTTTTAAAGAGAATAAAAAATAGTGAAGAAAAATTAGAAAGGTACCTAGATCTGAGCCCATTTCGGAAGATCACTGAGGCATAGTGTAATACTTCAGAATGCCTGATTGTTTGCATTGTAATGGAGTGGATAAATAAAACTCCTCTCTGAATTTCAGAATTAATTGAGAACTAGTAGAGTCAGATGGGGTCACAGCACTGGCTTTATTGATAAGTTCACCACTGAGTGTGGCTTGAACTGTTACCAAAGGCCTTTCTTATTTTCTGATACTGTACAACAAATGACTATAACTGTAGAAACTTAAAGCAACGCACATTTATGATGCTGCAGCTCTTGGGTGAGAAGCGTGACGTGTGGGGACAGGGTACTTCAGGATATCACAAGGCCAAAATCAAGCTCTGTGTCAGACTACCTCCTGGTCCTATGAAGCTTCTAAACTCATTCATGTTTGGGAAAAAAATTTTCCTCAGTTGTAGGAATAAGCTTCGTGTTTCCTCGCTGGTTTTCGGGCAGCAGCAGCTTTCTCAGCTTTACACATGTTCTGTGCCAATGCCCCCTTTGCACCCTGGCCTTCAAAGATGGCACCCGTGCCTTATTTCCTGCTCATGCTTTGCATCTGTCTGGCCCAGCTGGAGAAAGCTCTCTGCTTTTAAGAGCTCAGGTGGCTACAACAGGACGATGTTCCTGTCAACTGCACCACACATAGCATGGGAATAGCTCATCCTGTCACCAGGTGTAGGGGTTGAGATTGTTTATCTTGCAGGGCATGTTGGACATTCTTTTCCTCATACACTCTGGGCCACTGGGTCACAGGCAGGATGGACCTCCTCTGTAAGGACAGTCTGCCCTACTAGCCTTGGTGCTGTTAGGTTTTTTTGCATAGTAGAGAGGCAGAAGAAGAAAAGAGAGCCCTTTACTGACAGAAAGAACCACAGGAAAATGGCAGGGATCCTCTAATGTGAGACAAAGGGAGCTGGGGTTCTATAGAGTTTTTCTGGGTATGGATTTTGAGGGGTGGGCTTAGTGACTTGTAAGGAGCTGATTGGGGCTTCCCTTGTGCCCACGGGAAGGAGAAGAGGAAGTTGTATTCAGGGCTGAGGGGAGAAGAAGAGGAAGTGGCCAATGGGAAGATAAGCTGTTGTTTTTGAGATTCAGCTGTGTTGAGTCAGGGCCATAATGATTTCGCAGTTTATACTTGGGCTGGAAGTGCATTTCTGGTGGAAGATGGTCCCAAGCAGCAGAAGAAGTAGACCGAACTTGAGGGGCTTTGGTTCTCAGTCTACTAGGTAAGTCATGAGTCTGGTTGAAAAGTGGGGATACTGTCTTGGAGTGTTACTCAAGACAGCCTCTCCACATGGCATAAAAAGCCAAGAAAACGGATGCAATCCCCAACACTGGTCAACAGTGAGTTAAGCATCTGTCTCCCATAGCAAGAAACCTGGGATTGAGTCGTTTCAGACTTGGCGTTGCAGTTCCACAGTGTCTTGTATGATCATGTTTGTTTTCTCTGTGGTCATTCTCCTTGGAATGTTGTTTATTCATCTTTGGTCATCTAATGGTTGCAAGATGTCTATCATAGAACTAAATATGGTTTTATCAAGCCAAGATAAGAGAGATACTTAAAAAACTTATTTGTTAGAAAAGTTTTAGATTCACAGAAAAATTCTGAGGCAGGGAGATAGATTTCTCATACACTCCCTGCCCCTGTTATAAAGATCACCCACCACAGTGGTACAGTTTTAGAAACATAATGATCTACTCTGCCACATTATGTCACTGAAGGCCATGGTGTACAATGGGGCTCTTGGCATTGTCCATTCTATGTGCCTACAGATCCTGTGAACCTTGACTCACCCCAGAAACAAAGGATAGGACCCTGATTGTACAAATCAGTGATATGGTTATTTTCAGAAAATCAGCTTAGCCCCCCTAAGTACAGGCAAGGTAAAGACATGCTGAGAAGCTCAACTTTTTTTTTTGTTTTTTTTAATGCATTGAGTACAGAGTCTGCAGGGTCTCACTACACAGATTGCAC